GCTTATTTAGGTTTTTGTTGAGTATACTTCTTCTTTGTAATTAGAATACACATAGCCAGTATAAATCCGCGCCCTCAAGCTGCCTTCAAGAACTACATTTGTTGGAACTCGAATAATCTCTCATATGTGAACGCTTGTGACTCCGTCCAAACAGCCTTTCGGCAGATGACATACATTTGAAATCAGCGTTCCAAGCGAGTCGGATATACAGCTTGTTTGGAATGGCTGGGTCGCCTGATCATTTCCTCATAAGCAAGCATGAATGTACTAGTTGCGAGTTTCCAAAAAAATAATGAAGAAAATCGCATGTTCGCAATCTTTCCACGCATCTTTCGGAGGCTCTACTACATTAGTGCCTTGCTGTAAGTAATGACGCACTTGCCACCTCACGGAAAGACTGGCCTTAGAAGCGATATGTTAGATCGATTCCAACCGATTAGTGTATCAACACAGTTCACGCAGTCGTAGATGAATGGTGTGAATAGCATTTCAAATGTGAATGGTTCAAATATCAGGCCGCATCTGTTTATGAGCACCAATTATCCCCTCGCATAGTCTTCTAAATAGAAAAAGTGATCAGTAAGAAGGGATTGTGAGCGTGTAATACATGTTTGGAACAGAGTTGAGCTACCTCACAGTCGGCCAGCGTTCACTGTTGCATATAGTTAGGTACAGACAATTAGATATACGCAAAATTTGCAAGTGCTCTAAATTAAACAACTCATCAGCATTCCCAGAAAATGCTCTCGACCATTGCAATTTTGAATGAGTACTAGTATCAAGCAGAAATTTTGTTGATTACTAATCATTTTGTTTCAACAGATGTTCGCTCGATGACGTCGAGCTTCACCGTGGAAGGCACAAAAGCTCTAAATATGAGCGTGACAGCATCTCCTAATGCTCCACAGACCCAGTAAGGACCCTGTTCACTCAGTTCTTGGTCTACAATTATGCATTTTAGAAAACCGGGCACACCTCCAGAGAAAACGAATCTAAAATTTGAAGTGCTTCTTGCAATAATTGTAGCTGGCATTGCAGTTATAGTAGTTGTCGCACTTATATGGAGCTGCGTGATAACACGGAGGAAACGGAAACAAAAATTAAAACTTATGGAAGAAATAGAAAGAGAAGATGAGGAAAGAAGGAAGAAGAAGAAGAAGAAAAGGAAACGAAAGGTGGGGAGAAGCTTGAAAAGATTACATTGCAAGATAGATCCCATACTTTTTTAGAGAATGACAAGAGGAGTCAAACCAGTAATACCCCTTAAGCCAAGTCAAGAGGTAAGGTTTTTTGAAACGGTGAAGGGTTTTTTGATGCATCGATAAGTCAGCTCTGCCTGCCATTCTCATTGCTTTGCTTCAAATTAAGATAATTCACTGGTGTTGGTACAGAACGAAGATGTATTTAGCTAAAGAAAGCATTGAATGAATTTCTGGAACTGCAAACACAAACTATTGGTTCCGTGATGGACGAGGATGTGGGCGCATCGAAAAAAGGAAGTCAAGCAAGCGCTAGAATTAAAGCTGCTGGTTCGCCCGAAGAAGACACCGAAAAAAATGAGACTTCCAAAGAGGTGAAGACCAACGAGCGTGAAAATGACAGCTAAAGTAGATCGTGTTTGAGCAACATTACTTTCACAAGGAATGAGACCAATTATATGACTTCATTATTGAAATAAATGATTCAAGAGGTAATTCACTTATGTTGCAAGCAAAAGTAGACCGAGAGCACAACCCCGGCAGATTTCGAATAATTGTCTTGAAATTATAGAAACAAAAACACAAACACTGTCTCTATTTTTGTCTCAAACATCAAACTCTTAAGGTAATTCGCGAGCGCGCTAGATAAAGTCATTGAAGGAACGCTCATTCCAGATCTTAAGTTGCAAAGTCATTGTTTTCGCAACTGCTTTTGTTAACGTGTTGACGACAACACGCAAGTCTTCCACGAATAAGTTGAAAAGCTGACTGAAGTCACACAAATCGTCATCTACAGCGCACTTACAATGATTCTAAGAGGCAGGCAAGAAACGTGGAGAATTCAGCGCGTGAAAGAGCTTTTGTTACGCTATTTCAAATTTCGGACGCGGATTAGCGGACGAGTGGCGTAGTGGTATGAGGCGCCGCTATG